TATATATATATCCCTAAGGCACAGTGCTTGGCACTGGCAGTTTTGGAGGAAAGGAGTCAGAATTGGTGTCCCACACTGGAATCACAGCCTAAACTACCCCTCCATACTCAATGGCAGCTCAGAGCAAGGTGTGCGTGGGAATTCAGGTGGGATCAGGCTGTGGGGTGAGGGTGTTCCAGATATCTAAGGACAGCATGAGGGTCCTACCCAGGGGCCAGCCTGCTTGATCTCCCTACCTGGTTCCCCTGTGTCGCTGGTTACATGATTGCCGGTGAGCAGGAGGGTTTCTTCTTCTTGGATGGGGCTCCCAGGGTTGGAAGACCCATCCAGATGGGGAGGCGAGACGGCCTTGGAAGTGCTGGGTCTGGGCTGTTCAGGGGAGCTATTGGTCAACCTGTCCTCATCCTCCTCTGTGGACTCCATCTTGATCATCTTCCTGGAGCAATCGCTGTGGCAGCAGCACTTCCTCTTCTTGGAGATGACCGTCTGAGAGGCTTCCTGCACAGTGATTACAGGGGCGACTCAGAAGCCTCCAGTGTTGCTGGGCTGAGGACCCTGAGCTGAGTGCCATGGGCTTGTGGCATGTTTTTGCTCCTGTTCCTTTGGCCATGCTGACCAAATCTCTGCAGTTAGGAAGCTCTCTTGGGTTGCCATGCACACTGGTCATGGCCGCTGGCCAGCCCTCTCTGTTGGCCTTACAGCTTTGGTCATCTCAGCATCCCGGCTGGGATCAAGCTTATTGGGGGCTTCCTAGTGGAGCAGCCCTGAGCAATGGAGAATATGGGGGTACACGCTGAGCAAATAAGACCTCAAGAAGGTCCAGATTGTCATCTGGCTATGCCTCACTGTTGATGGAGTCTGAGCCCTTCAGATGAGGCAGGGTTGAGTAGGGGTACTTACCTCTCGATAGGTGGGGGCTTTCATAGAGAAGGCATACACTGGCACAGGGTGCGCTCCGGGCACTGACTGTACCATGGCCACAGGCTGGGTCTTAGACATATTCAGGGCTTCAGCCTGTGCACTCTGCACTTCATTGGGCTAGAAGATCAGGTAACAAGAAAGTCAGAAATGGCCAGGAACGCTGGGTCTAACAACCTGCCTCAGTTGTAAGCTTCTTGGTCCCAGTCACTGGGACAAGTAGTTCTTCCCAAACCCTCTATGACGTCACCTCCTTCTGAACTTGGGTTGGCGGTACCCAGCTGGCATCAGCAGTTTCCTGACAGGGCAGGAAGATACTTCAGGGACCACAAGGCCCAACTCCTCAGAACATGCCTGACAACTAGCCTAGCATGCATGCCTCTAGAGACAAGCCACTCGCTGTTGTTGAGGGCAGCACCTCCCTCAGCAATGGTAGAGTTGCGGCAGTGAGAAAATCCAAGCTCAGCCTCCTGTGAGCTTGCCCTATCCCTGAGTCTTAACTGTCCAGCAGCTGCTACACAATGAAATTACTTAAAACTCACTGGGCCTCAGTCTCATTCCAAAAACTGGGCTAATAACATTTGCTTCATAAGGTAATATGGATGGAAGATGCCAAGCGCCTCCAACGTATCTAAAAGAGTATGTAGCCCCTACAGAGCTCCAGTAGTGGGTAGGTGAGGATTAGATCAGCCAGAATGGATATAATACTGGCTTTATTACTATTCCAGGTCAGACTTGGTGCTCAGGGGTTTGTGTATCCATATCAAAATGAAGCCAGGGCCGTTCCTCAAAAAGTGAAAAAGGAGCTGGAGAGATGGCTCTGAGGTTAAGAGTATTGGCTGCTCTTGCAAAGGACCTGGGTTCAGTTCCCAGCACTGATACTCTCTTTTGGCTTCTTCAGGCACTGCACACGTATGGTGCACACGTATGGTACACTCATGTGCAGGCAAAACACTCATACACATAAAATAAAAAAGAAATAAATTGCCACATGACTTATTCTGCTCCTAGGTACCACCGCAAAAGTACTTAGGTAAATGTTTAAATGCAAACTTACACGTGGGGCTGGGCAGGCAGTTCAATGGTAAAGAACCTGTGTACCATGTATCAAGCCCCAGATTTGATCCTCAAAACAGGAGCGAAGAGTTTAAACGTCTTGTCTTTGCCTTTGTAACTGCAGCTGCTGGCATATATACTTAGGCCGGACCTTCCTATCGGCAAGGCTGGGCGCCTCTGCCTCTGTTCCCTCAACTTTCTACCCACCAGTACTAAAGAAGAAGACAGGGGGAAAGTCACTGACTTATGGTTGTCTTAGAACAGCAGTTCTCAACATGGAAGTCATGACCCCTTTGGGGTAGAATGGCCCTTTCACAGGGGTCGCCTGAGACCCACTGGAAAACAGATGTTTACGTTATGATTCCTAACAGTAGCAAAATTACAGTTATGAAGTAGCAACGAAAACAATTTTATAGTTTGGGGGTTACCACAACATGAGGAACCATTTTTTTTTACTTTTTTTTTTTTTTTTAAGATTTATCTATTATGTATACAGTATTCCTCCTGCAAGCATGCCTTCAGGCCAGAAGAGGGCACCAGATCTCATTACAGATGATTGTGACCCACCATGTGGTTGCTGAGAATTGAGCTCAGGACCTTTAGAAGAGCAGGCAGTGCACTTAACCACTGTGCCATCTCTCCAGCCCGAGGAACCATATTTTCAAGATTATTTGTTTAGTATACAGTGGGGTTCTGGCTGTATATATGTCTGTTGAAGGTCAAATCCTCTGAAACTGGAGTTATAGGCAGTTATGAGCTGCCATGTGGGTGCTGGGAATTGAACACGGGTCCTTTGGAAGAGCAGTCAGTGCTCTTAACCACCGAGCCATCTCTCCGGCCCCCGAGGGTCACAGTGTTAGGAAGGTTGAGAACCACTGGGTTAGAGCTTTAAAATCATAAATATTTCCCTCTCTGAGGCGGTGCTGTGAGGACCAGAGCCGCCTCTCTTGACAGGAATGACAAAGCAGCCATATTACCCTGAGACAGGTCTGTGCCTGCCTCCCTTGACCTTTGCACCCATGCACTGCTACCCACCCCTTTCTGAGGACGAAGCTCAGCACCCAGATTATGACCGTGGTGTAAAGCAGGAAGTTTTGTAAAGCAGAGCACTGCCAAAGTTCAAGCTCAAACTGCTTCACAGCCAAGTCTCTCGGGTTTGCAACTCTGCAGGAGGCCTGAGACATCATGCTTTCTAGGAGCTCCAAATTCTCCAAGCCCTGCCTCCCCCAGGAAGCCTTTCCTGACTGCTGTAGCCCACAGTAATCTTTTGCCCCTGGGTGACCCCAAGGCAAAGCCAGAGAGGCTTAATACCCTTGTTGCCCACCAGCAGTCCCGGGCCTACATCTTGACATGCAGACACACACAATGGAAAGACCAAGCTAAGGGGGGTGAAAGATATCAGGTGCGGGAGGAAGTGAGAGGACTCAGCCTGCCGCCGGGGAGCCCTGCCTAAGAGGAGAGCTGGTGGGGAGAATGGAAAGAATGCCTGTGTATTTCTACCCTGGGAAGCACGAAGTCAGAGCAATCAGAGGAGGGGGTACCACTTCAAGAATGAATGGCTTTCCTGCCCCCAAAGGCATGTGTGTGTATGCAATCAAGGGTGCAGCCGAGGGAATACCAACATGAGAATACCTAAGGATGTCTTCCCACCCCGAGAAACTAGAGCTTTTAGGTATATGATGGCTCTGGAATCTGTGGGATTGAGCTCTTGATGCCTAGCCTTAAATCCAAGAATCATGTGGGTGGGGGAGGAGGTTCACCTATGCAAGCCTCAAAAAATGGCTCGTACATTCAGTATGAGCTTCAGGGATGTCCCGTGTCACATCCAAAGGAGCCATTGTTTATATTTACTTCCTCCACTTCCTGTCCACCTCTGGGTCTGATTTCTCCTGAAGTAGCTCATGGCCCATCAAGAGCTACTCAGGCATTCAGGAACCCTCACCAGCCAGCCAGCCCTTCCTTAAGCTTTCCTTAACACTCTCCTGAGAGCTCCAGTCCAGTCATTGGCTGTCCCCTCTCGGGCACTCTCCACGCTGTCACAGGACATCAGGACTCCCAACTCCTTGTCTACCAACTCTCCTCACACATCAAACCCCCTCTCACCTGCTTGAGGTCAAGAGAGTCCTTGGGAGTGCTGGCTGCCTCTGGTCTGGCTCTCTCGGCTACAGCTGCGTCTGGAAAGCAAAACAGAGAAAGCATGAGGGCCGTCTAGTAAGGAGAATTCTGGCCTGGGACAGTGACAGGGAGGAGGTCCTTGCTGCTTTTCCTGGGTATTCACCATTGAACATGTCTCTACAGAGAGACTGGAGTTGACTGCTGTAGGCATAAATCCAGCGAGAACAGAGGGGAAGGTAGCACTTTGACTCTAAATCCCAAGTGCATCTCTGTTCTAGGACCACACCTTTAGGAGCCCATAGCCACCAGCACCAGGAGGAAGCCTTTATTCTTGGAACCTGCCAGGAGCCAGTACAGGTAGTCCTCAATAGCTGCTCCAAGTTGAACTTCTAAAAGCTTTCGATAAAAACCCTGCAAGTGTACATGTGCACCCGCGGTCTTTGTTGTGAAAACCCCTTAATGCCACAAGCTCACACAGGACACAGCTCCAGGATTCTGATTCAGAGCCAAGCTTGTGTCTAAGCTACCTGGCCCAGGATCCTCTCCCAATTGGACAGGACACTTTTGAGGGAGGAGCTGGTCTGCCACTTCTGTACCTCAAAAGAGCCTACCTAGTACCAGTAAGGACCTAGAGACCGGCAGTTGGCTGTTTCGTTCTAGGAGAGTTCTTCCTTTCGGTCGGACCAAGTACCTCCCTGCTAGGTTTTCTGAGCCTCCTTCTCTCCTAACCTTACATCCCAGTAGATTTCTCTTTTCCTGGGTGAGGGGACTTAGGAGACCCTAAGAGTGGGCTGCAATGATACCACATCCGGTTCTCAGCTCAGTAGCTTCTCAATTTCCACGTTTCCCGAGGTTGACAAAGTCACATCTGTTCCACAGAGTTGTATAAGTTAGCAAAGTGCCTCCTCTGGGTGCCTGCCACAGCAAATGATCCTATTCTTTTAGTCTGTCCTCTGGAACCTAAGACTTGATTGTCCTCTTTCATCTACCAAACAGAGATCATCTTTTCTGAATTGCCGTCCCCTGGGGGCAGCAGTGAAGCATGGGACCTTTAAATGTCAAACCAACTGCCCATAAGTGTGGCCTCAGCATTTACCTGTCTTCGGGGTGATGCAGGAGATGAGGTCCTGCAGACACATCTTGAACTCCTCGAAGCCGCTGGTGCGTAGCTGGACTTGCTGGTTCTGGGGCTCCTCCTGGCGCAGGCGGCAGAGTGCCCTGCGCAGAAAGCAGTGCATGTCCATCACCTCCTGGTCGGAGGCATAGAGCTTCATCCTCTTGACCAGCGCCTCACCAGTGCTGATGCGCTGCAGCACAGCTTCCAGGTGGCCCAGCTGACCAGCTATTTCCTGGTAGTCGCGCTGGTAGCATGCATTCACCGCCTCGAGCAGTTCGCGCTCCTGCGCCTGCACATGCTCTATCACTTGACGAACGCGGGAGCGGATTCGCTCCTCAGCGTCTGTGCGTGCGTGCTCCAGCTGGCCTATGGCTGAGCGCATCTGCGAGTGAGCATTGTTGAAGGTCCTTTCCTGCTCCTGCAGTGCCTGCGTCATGGTGCCGAGCTCCTCATGCCACTGCTGGATCTCCTCGCCAATGTCGCACTGGAGATCGCCGTGGCTGCGGTCCAGGATTGCACATGTGCAACACAGAGGCTTAGCGCAGCCTCGGCAGTAGATGCTGCGGATACATGAGACCACTTAGGACATTCTATTTCTCAGCTTGTTTTTCCCTATTCAGTGTCTATGGCTATGGTTATGATACCAGATCTGCTCACAAAATACAAGACAATAAAAAGCTACTACAGGGCCAGAAAGTCCCGGGAGTAAAGGCGCTCACAGGCAAGCCTGATAACCGAGTTTGATTTCCCAGAACCTATATGGTGGAAAAACACAACCGATGTCCGCAAACTGTCCTTTGACCTCTACACGTGTGCCATAGCATACGTGCACTCCACACACACACACACACAAACACACATTTTTTTAAAAGTTAAAAAAAAAACGACCACAGTAACAATTCCCCTACCTATGTAGCAATGCAGACACATACAAAAAAAATCACTTTCTTTCTGTCATTTCTTTCTTTTTTCTTTTTGGTTTTTCAAAATAGTGTTTCTCTTACTGTGTAACAGTGCCGGCTGTCCTGGAACTCACTTTGTATACCAGGCTGGCCTCAAACTCATTGAGATTCGCCTGCCTCTGCCTCCCAAATGCTGGGATTACAGGCGTGCACCACCACCACCAGGCCCGCCTGGCCCGCCATTTCTTAGCATCCCCTAACAACATCCCCTAACTCTAGCTCTGACCCCGGCCTGCCCACTCAGGCCTCAGCTGAGTATGGGATGGTTTCTTCCTCCTACCTCTCCACACCCAAACTCCGAAGCACCTGCCGTGCCTGTCACTCCACCTTTGCAAGTACTGGCTGGGTACTTTTATTATTATTCTCTTTTCACAGCTGAAGAAACCAAGACTTACAGCTAAGCAAAGTGCTGGGCTAATGTTTGTACTTAAAAAATAAAACCATACTACAAGTACCTGGTAACTTCCTTCTCTACTCTTTCATTTGGGACATTCCTTTAGGTCCATAGGGACAAACCCTAATTTTTTTTTAAATAGCTCCTTTTTAGCTATTAAATACAATCGTTTGGTTCAACAGGCTCCCTTTCCACAAACAGTCACATGATTTCCTGTTTGTGCATTTTCTTTCTGCCTTTCTTCTCTCTCCCTTTTATTTTTTGACTGGTGTGAATCGTGATTTAATAGCATAACATCATGTTAGGCAGCCTAACGTATGGGTGCCTTTCTCTCTATGAAGTAGAGTACAAATAATAGATTGCTAGATCAAAGAATGTATATCTCTATCTTAATATTTTATGCACGTTAACATATTAATTAATGGTAAGTATGTGATGTCATGGATATTCTAATTAGTTGAATTTTTCCAGCTCTACAAGGTATATCACAACATCATGGTGTATATGATAAATATACATACAGTTTTTATTAGTCAATTTAATATATAGGCTAACTGAAACTTTCACAGCATTTTCTGTAGCCATTCTATCTAATTTTTGAATGTGTTACAAAGTGAAAGGACTTTAAATGTGTGATTAAGCCGGGTGGTGGTGGCGCACACCTTTAACCCTGGCACTTGGGAAGCAGAGGCAGGCAGATCACTGTGAGTTCAAGGCTAACCTGATCTACAAGAGCTAGTTCCAGGACAGGCACCAAAGCTGCACAGAGAAACCCTGTCTCAAAAACCAAAAGGTGTGATTAAATTAAGAAACTTGAGGTTATAGGAGCTGTAGAGATGGCTCAAAAGTTTAGAGCACCTGGTGCTCTTCCAGAGTTCCCCAGTTTGATTCCCAGCACCCACACAGTGACTCACGACATCTGTAAGTCCTGTTTCAGATCTGATGCTCTCTTCTTACCTCTGTGGGCCCCAAACACACATGTGCATGCATACATGCAGGCAAAACACACAAATAAATAAACCTTAAAAAAAAGATTGTTTAGGGCTAGAGAGATGGCTCAGTGGTTAAGAGCACTGCCTGCTCTTCCAAAGGTCCTGAGTTCAATTCCCAGCAACCACATGGTGGCTCACAACTATCTGTAATAAGATCTGGTGCCCTCTTCTGGCCTGCAGGGATACATGCAGGCAGAATACTGTATACTTAATATATAAATAAATCTTTAAAAATGCTGCAAGAAAGAGGATGAATTTGGGGGCTGGGAAGATTGCTTAGTTGGTAAAGTGCTTACTGCACAAGCAAGGGGCCCGAGTTTGGATTCCGAGCACTCACATAAAAAGCAAGGCATGGTGGAGGCAGACATAGGTGGATCCCTGGAGTTTGCAGCCTTCCAGTCTGGCTGAATTAGGGAGCCCCAGAATCCATGACTCTGTTTCAAAAAGTAAGGTGGAAAACAACTGAAGAAGACACCAATATCAACTTCCAGTCTACAAACACACACACAGCCAAAGACACATACACACAAGCACGCACAGTCATGTACACATACACACAGGCATGCACACACAGGCATGTATGCATACACTCAAGTTCAAGGCCAGCCTGAAGAACTAGTTCCAGGACAGGCTCCGAAGCTACAGAGAAACCTTGTCTCAGAAAACTAAAAAAAAAAGGAAAAAAAAAGAAATATCCAAAATAATCAGTTAAGGCCATGAGTTAAAAAAGGATATTCAGTAAGAGAGAAAGATAACAGCATGTCACGCTATTGGATATATATATACATATATAAACAGCCAACTCTGCCATTTACTTATGCCCATCTTGAATGCCACACTAACCTTAACAGCTTTGGCAGAATATTTCTAAAGTGCAAGATATGCCATGTCAGAAATTTGTTACAAAATTCAATGACAAAAATTCATCATTAAACATTAACAGAATCTGGTGCTATACGAAATAGACAATGATTCCCTATGTAACACGAGCAATTCTGGAGTTATCAAGAAAGCTATAAAAATGACTATCACATGGCTTTGCCTGTATATGGTAGTTCTAATGTTGGTTACCCACTCAAATGATGTTACGTAAGTTTCCTTTAAAGTGTAGTGATACTGTTAGGTTATTAATTTTAAAAAAAACCTCTGAAAAAAATAAACTAAAAGGCGTGCCATTTGTGGTAGCAAAGCAAAAAAAGGTAAGAAGGCAGAAACTGAGGAGAAAGCAGAGTAATGTAGGAAAATGTCCCTGAAGTTTGAGATTGATGGAGTCTGGCAGGTTCCCGAATAACCTGATACGAAATGCTCACTGTCAAGACAGCTCGGATGTCTCAGGTTTCCAATGCTATGATGGAACACCATGACCAAAGCAACCTGGGGAGGACGGGGTTCATTCTGCTCACACTTCCACAGCACTGTTCATCACAGGAGGGAGTCAGGACAGGAACTTAAACAGGGCAGGAAACCGGAGGCAGGATTCCTCTGCCTTGCTCAACCTGCTCTCTTATAGAACTCAGGGTCCCACATCGACCACTAATTAAGAAAACGTCCTGGAACACAGAAGTCCTCCTTGAAGGAAAATATTTACTGGCAACGTTTCCTCAGTTAAGAGCTCAAGCGAAACACAGAATCTGGGTAGTTTGGAGGTAGTAAAAACTTATCCTGGACTCTGTCGTCATTGTGGCAAAAAGAAAAAGGAAAGAAAACACAACAGTTTGGGGATCACGGTGCTGATGTAAAATGGCATCATTGTTGAGGTGGAAACAAAGCTGCAAGGATGGGAACTAAGCATTAGAGTCCATTGATACTAAGACGGAGTACTTCAGTACAAACAGTTAGACTTCAACAGCTTTTGTTAAAGGTGTGTGTGTGTGTGTGTGTGTGTGTGTGTAGGTCAGAGGAAATAGCTTATTGTGGAGATCAGACAACTTGCCAACTTGCAAGAGTCATTTCTTTCTTCCTACCATGTGGCTTGTGGGATCAAACTTAGGTCAACAGGCTTGGGAGCAAGTGCTCTTACCCACTGGGTCATCTTCTCAGCCCCTCCGATAATTTTTTAAAGTCTAAGCATTGAGGTTTAAAAAAGATGATCTTAGAGGAATCTTTTTGGAAGGGTGGTCTCTCTCTCTCTCTCCTGTCTTTTTTCTTTTCTTTATGGTGACTGGGGATCAAACCCAGGACCTCACAAAACTCAGCAGATACTCTACCACTGAGCTGCATCCCCAGGCCCTAAACATACCTTGAAGTTGGCAAGTCTAATTTGTTTTTCTGTTAAATTCAAGGAAAATGAAACTTTACATTGCTTTAACAGCATGCTTCCTTTTAACAGTACGGTTCTAAAGGAAATCACACTCTGCACTCTAAATAAGCAACCTGCAGGGTCCTTCTGCTAGCGACAGGCAGCTGGAAGGGGGAGGCCAGCAGGGCAGGAGAGGCAGTCTGCAGCCAGAAGTCCTTCATCCAGTTCTGTCCCTGGGTGCGCTGAGCCCTCCTTCTAGGTTAGTTCCTACGAACTCCTTGACCTTCCATTTCTTTTTTTTTGGGCAGTGGAAACAGTCTTAGCAGGTGGTTCAGGATTAAGACACCACTGGAGAACCTCTCAGAAGATGAGCTGGTGCTCTACCACAGCAGGAAGGAAGGTGGAATTAGCTCAGAACTCTCAGTTCTGTGGCTTCACATGACACCGGCTACAAATCTGTCCATTGCCCGCGTTTCTGCCCATACCTGACACTGTATTTTCTTTGATTCCTTTGCAGTAGCCATTTTTCTGGGACACATTGAAGGTGTTTCCCCACTAGCACCAGTATGGAATCAGACTTCCTTTTAAGAAGGATACACCCATGAACTTTGAGAAAGTGTGACTTTGGCACAGGCCAAGCTGCACGGCCCCTAGCATCCCGAGAAGCTTTTCAAGCCGAGCACTCGACCCACTGGTAATAATTCTGAAACTCAGCTTTGAATGTGTTGTCCCCCAGGACTCCAGGCTCACTGCATGTAACCCCCCTAGCTCTTGAAATACTCTGGCAATCCTGGGGAAAGAGCCTTTGTAAATGGAGTGGCCTTGGCAGAAAGCCAGGCCACAGAAACACAGAGACCTTCTTGGTGGCACAATCTACTATCTAATCAGGCTGGGATCAGGCGCCAGACCACTTTTCCGGGTTTATAATATGAGCTCTCAACCATTTTACATTCCAGAAGATTCTCATTACTCA